TTGGACCGCCCACGAGGGGAGGGAGAGACCCACATGGTATTTATGGGATGAATGTTGATGGCGATTCATACATTTGGGACTGTGGGGTTCAGGAGAAACATGATGATTGTTAAATTCTCTCAAATTCCTCTATTTTGTATGCCACAAGCAATGTGTACGGATAGCTGCTTCTAGGCAGAATGGTTAGTCTTTTAGGGGTGTTTACCCATTTGACAGGTGAAAAGGTCTTATATAGAAGTCTATGTGGTGGCCTAGCCATACAGATGTTTAGACCCCACTATTGATTTTGATATATATCCAGGGCTGAAATACAAATGTGACAATTGTTTGTCATTCCACAAATTGTTTAGAGCAGACTAGATGTCTTTCAGAATCATTTTCTAATCGCTGCCTTTTCATCTAATCTTTTTAGCTCCTTTTCTCTTACATGGACTTGCTGCCTCCTAGACATTAATCCCTTTACCCTTCCTGTAAATCTGCGTCTTCCCAGCCAACCTGTGGTGTGTCAAACCCTGGATGAAGTGACTTTGTGGTAGGACTGTTGGAATGTGTCAAGAAGCTGAGAGAATGGTGGGGTTTTCCTATGGACACAATCCCTGTTCAGGTTGACAGAGGTCAAGTGTCCAGACTCTAGACTTGTTTCAGCAACAGTCTAGGAATAGGGTGGAGGAGAGCCCAGGACAGGAGACTTGTCCTTAGCTGGCTTTGCCATCAGCTCACTCACCCTGCTTCTTAAGCTCTTTACCATGCCATTGCATTGACCACTGTAATTTGTTTTCCAAGAGGTACAGCTGGGTGTGTTACAAGTTTTTTATTCCCTAGATTGGGATAGGAGTTGCGAGAGCCCTTAGTGGACTCTGCCTTGTTGAACATTATGTGCTTACAGTATTCAGTCCTGTGTTTGGTCTCAGCAGGTTATATGATCTCTCCAGATATCATCCCGTCCTTTATCACATACAGTGGACATGCTGCTCAGCTGGTAGAATTCACATTTTAGTAGAGAGAGCTGCCTCAGATGACTAATGAAAGCTCCAGGATCTTCCAAACTAATCTTGGGCCAGAGAGCAAGACATATAGGTTCTGAGTAAATTGTTCTCAACCAGTATTTGATAGGGAGCATTCACATAGGTGTTTGTCCATGACATTCTGAGCTAGTTCCTCCCCCTCAGATTGTTACATTAATTTTCTGAGAACTGTGACAGTGGTGAAGACCCCATCTTGTATTATCTTTCGAGTCCATCAGCTACTCCTGTGCACCCTTCCTGCCTACCCATCCTTGAGGTCAGTTCTCACCAATTCTGACTCCCAACCTGACACCAGCAGTCTGTCCTGAAGGCTCCTCACTATCTTTCCAGTGTACT